GCGGCAAATTTACGCATGGTAAACCAAATATTTGAACATTTCCGTCTAAATAACTTTTTACACCTGACAATATTTTGACTAGTTTTGTTTTTAGGATTGTTGTTAGCTACATAGGGTCTGTCATAATTTGCGAGCGTTTCTAAATAGATGCTTAATTGCGTTTGACAACAGAATAGAAAGCAGGAAACGCACTCACTAGCTGTTAAACAAGCAGATTTGTCATAGATAGCTCTCGAACAAGACAATATAGCTTTCCGCCAGAGGTAGTGGTTTTTCCGTTTTAAAATTATCGTTGCTGTGGAAGTGCTTACGATTCGTTAACTATATATATGTATATATTATCACCTAGCTCATGGGCTCACGATTTTGAGCTATTAGAATTGATCTTTTTTTACCTTGTCTTTCTCTCAAGTTCCCTTGACAGTTTTTTTCTTCATTGATTTAAAGTCTAATTTTACCTCTAGCTGCTGTTGTTATGGAAAATACAACTCATAGAGAACCAAGAAGCGACAGTGCAGATCATCAAGGTATTGTAGCTGTATATAGCCTTATTTTTTCTCTTGCTGTTGCTGTGATGGCCCGATCTATCTCTGTATTTCCTGCTGCTTAAGTACTGTAGATAGATAAATACTGTTTATATACCTAAATTCCAACATGGGCAAGCAAAGTATTTCAGTCCATGATGTGTCGCAAATAGCTTTATTTCAAAGCATTGCATTCTAGCTAAATTAGATGATCACAAGCTACCTGTAGCTTTATGCAACTTAAATATTGGGGCGTAGCTGACTTACAAGTATTTGTGGTCTTCCCTCGGCGATAAGTGTCTCCCTTCTGTTTGCTGAGGTTCCTTATTCAAAAAAGCCACTTCAAGAGCAACAGGATGGTCTTAAATAGCATTTGTTCAGTTTTCTACAAGTACACCGACGATTTACTGATACTAATCCTTCACCCCCACCCCCTCCCCCCACTAGAAGTTACATATGTCTTATGAGTAAGTAAATCCTATAATTTCATTTAGTGGTCAAAACTTTGTGACATGCATCCACGCTCCTTATAGTAATTCCTGCTTCAAACGTGACGAGCAAACGAACGGTTTCCCTCGTTCGGTATCGGTAACTTTCGTGCACAACCCGAAGTCTGACGATGTCTTACCCAATCAGTCAATATCGATTCGGACGAGCGATATTGCCGTTGATGGCTTCTTTTCAAAAAAGAAGGTGAAGAAATCCATTAAAAGCGGAAACCTCGCGACGGTGCTCTTGGGAGTGAAAATATGTCCTACGTACTTAGAGTAACGCGCTCTTCAGTAAGCCATGTTGTTAAGTAAAGCGCGCGAACGTTTCAGTGAAGAGCTTTCTCGCCATGTCTCGCTGAAATGGAGAAACATTACGGCAAATGGATATTATTTCGATGGTATCATGACACTAACAATATTTTGGGTCCTGACAGACTAGTTGCAGTGTCTACGTCGCCTTTTGACGTTTACTGATAAGAAATACAAAGATCAGTGTTGGTGAAACCAAATTTTATAAAGGTTGTCTGTGGAAAATGTTATAATCAAAACCCGGTCATGTAAAATTAAAACTAAAAGTATTAATATGGAATCGGTGGAATTTGTTTTACT